TGCCTCATCTACTCGTCTTTTAAATACCTCCAGGGATGGGGACTCCACCACTTCCCTGGGCAGCCTGGTCCAATGTTTAACCACTCTTTCAGTACAGAAATTTTTCCTCACGTCCAATCTAAACCTCCCCTGGCGCAACTTGAGGCCATTTCCTCTCGTCCTCTCGCTTGATACTTGGGAGAAGAGACCGACCCCACCTCGCTACAACCTCCTTTCAGGGAGTTGTAGAGAGCGATGAGAAAAAAAGCCGTTTCCCTTCCCCAAACGGTGCACGTCAAAGCAGGGAGCGCACGGGAACAGGAGGATCCTGGCGCCGTTTCTCTTGGGAGGGAGCTGATCGCCTTAGGAAGCCTTTCCACTTGCCCGACGAGGCTGATCCCGGCTGGGACGGAGGAGCAGCCCCAGCGATGTAGGTGAAAGGCTGGACCGGCGTATCGGCTTTCCGAATCAAACCCCGCTCGCCAGGAGACCTTCCTGGCCCCACAGCTAAGGAGCGGCGCGTCCTAAAACAGCACCGCTTGCTTCACCCCTTACAGGCAGCTGAGGCTGGATCTCTCCTCTCTCGGTGCTTCACGGGCACGACCTGGCTCTAAACTAGTTAGGGAGAAATACGAGTTTCTTTGTGCACGGAAATTATCCGTCTTTAGTGCTACTGTAACATCTGGGAGAAAGCCTGGCTGCTGGGAGGGTGCACGCAAACCGAGGAGGATGTTAAAATGCTTAAAACGGTGGTTTTCGTCTCGTGGGCTGCTGCTTAGGGGTCCCCGCAGGTCACTGCGACTGGCCAGTCTAATTTGTCAGCAGGCTTGGATTTGTTGTGTAGGAGCTTTGCCCTCCCCATTGCAAGGCGGTTTGGGTTTTAGGGTTCTGCAAATTAAAAATAAAATAATAATTGAAAACCAAAATTCAGAGAGTCGGAGCCCGGTGAATGCGCTGGTGTAATTCTTTTGGCTTCATAGAAGACGACTTTGGCTGAGGGTAGACATTCACAAATGCAGAGTTTTCTTGCCAGAGCAAAACTGCGTGGCTCGGACCTTTCTAATTTTGGCCTTCAGCTTTTGCTTTCTGCAGCGTTGAGAAAGAGCAGCATTGCAGCATCTAATACTGTGTCGAGCAGGGAAATATTTCACCATCGTGGGTTTGGGGTTTTTTTTTTTCCCCCAACAGTTTGAACAAACAGGTTTTTTTTCCAAACAGTTGCCTCTCAGTGTGCGGAACAAGAGAACCACCCCTCTGAGGAGAAGCGGTGAGCAACAGAAAACACACCACGAGGGGTTTTGGGTTTTTTTCCTGTGTATCCAGCTTCTCGCACGCTGCACGACCCTGCGGTTTGCTGCCATCAGAAAACGGGCGCGGGGCAGAGCTGTAACCTCCTGTCCCTTCTCCCCGCAGAGCAGAAGCAGAGCAGTGCCGGGGGGCATCCCGTACTGCAGGCCGACTCGTCCCAGGCCCACGGCTGATCTCTCGGAAGAGGAAACCAAAAGAATCGCCAGGATTTTCTCTGCTCAGCTCTCCAAGAAGGAATAGCGTCGGCGAGAGGCCGCCTGCGGCGGCTGCTTCGCTTCCCGAGCCACGGCCTGACGCATCGGCAAACGCTGGGTCCTCCAGGGAAGAGGAGATGGAAGCTGTAGGTTTTAATTTGCCTAATCGGTATCCCGTTAGAGGGACTTAAAGCCTGGTGGTCAACCGAGGGGAGCTGAGAGACCGTGTGTCTTGCAAGGGCAGGTCCCCGATGAGACTCACCGCTTCGGGTAACTGATGAGCTGATACCTGGTCTCCGGGTAACTCCATCTTTGGGCTTCATTCGTGTGAAATTTCTCTAATTAACCTTTTTCTTTTCTTTTTTTTTTTTTTGAGTAAACACAAAGCATCCCACTTTGAGACAGCTCCCTTTTTCTTCAACCAAAGGATGGAGAACATTAGAAATCTGCCATCCTGTCGGCAAGCGGAGAACTGTCGCCTCCCTGCCGGCGTGTGCTGTGGATGGGGAGGGAAGATGAGCTCCCTCTCCAGTGGCCTTTCAAAAATAGTTGGTGGAAAGCGTAATTTTCTGATTCTAGAGGAATGTATGATGTGCCGAAGGGGCTTGTGTAAATACAGGCCAAGGATACTGTAAAATACCGATGTGCGTACAAAAGGGTTTTACTAGAAATGTGGAGCTTTTATATTCTAAATTATTTTTGTACATTTTTACGTCGGGTACCTTTTGGATAACGGACTGCGATGCGAACCGAGCCAAGTTATTTTTGTACTGCTCGCCAGCGTTTGTGTTTCAATAAAATTCCCCCGGTTTCTTGTCATCTGGTGCGAAGCGCCCGGCTGCCAGGTCACGAGCCTGCCGGGGGATGGGACTCCTTCCCCCAGGAGCCCCCGGTAACGCGCAGGAGAGGAGGTTGTAGAAATGCTTGCTGGAAGGCGGTGGGGCGGGCTGGGGCCGTAAAGCTCGCTGCTTTGCAAAATAATTGAATATCGCCGTGTAGCGCCGCCCGCGTGGAACGAGTCGGATCTGGGGGGGGGCGAGCGAATGCTCCAAATTAGGGCTGCTTTTCGAACCCCGCTTTGAATTCGGGATTTAAGGAACCAAAGCGTCGGCATCCCTTTTTTCACGGGGGGGGGGAAAATCCCGCGTCATTCGCTGCTAACACAACTTGCCCGTGCTGGGGAGCTGGACCCCAGCGGTAAAACCTGGTCTGCCCTGCCTGCGGGCTGCCCAGGCGCTGCCTGCAGAGCTCTCGGCCTCCTGCAAGCTGCCCGAAGCGGGGGCAGGCTAGCCCTCAGCGCTGCCCCGTGCCTCCCACCCCCCGGCCTTCGCAGCCCCGATCCTCCGCCCTGCAAACGTGTCCCCTTTCCCTGCCCTCGCCGGGTGAGGGTTGGGAGGTGAACGTGCCAAGTGTCCCCGTACCGCGCGTCCCCAGCATTCCCTGCCAGAACAGGAGCGACGCGCGGGCTTCCTTCTCCCGCTGCTGATCCTGGTGGCATCCCCAAAAACCCCAGGCGGGATCCTGGCTGGGTTGGGAACACGGTCACAGAGGAGGTGACAACGTTGGCTCCCGAGTTAGATCTCGGGCATGAGACAAACAGCTTCTTCCTCTTGCATTTAGGTCCGTGGCGGAGCAGGGTCCAGCCGGCCGGGAAAACAAAGACGGCAGCCAGCTGGAGAGGGGTGTCGGCGCCAGACGAGCTTCTGCCTTGAGCCCGATCGACGGAGCAAAGGTGGCTTCAGGGTGTCAAACCAGCGCGAAAGCCCTCTTGCATCACCAGGGGTGTGCGATCTTTGGCGAGCACGTCCCTTTGGGCTTTGTGCGTGTAGCACAAAGGGTTTAGCACTCTGAGTTTTAAGAAGATGGAGGAAAAGGGGCATTTCTTGAGCTGTCACCCCACCCCTGGCCTCCAGCCTTGTCCTGAGCCCTGTCCCTCCCTTCACCTCGGCTGCGGGCCCGGTGCACGGCCACGCTCAAAGGCATCGTGGTTTTCGTCGTGCGGAGCACGAACGCGGGAGGGGTTCACCTCCGAGCCGCTCGCGTGGCCCCCTGCCCTCGGGATGCTCCACGTGAGCTCGGGGGACACGTTACACCATGCGGAGGAAATCCCGCCGGCAAGCTCGGCAGCTGCCCGGGATGAATTATGGCTGCGTGGTCCGTGCCAGGGGCAAAGGGGTCCGACCTGCCCCGTGGTGGGGGAGCGCTCGGTGCTGCTCTGCCTCCAAACTGCTCACTTCTAAAGCCTTGGGCAAGCGTTTTTCTGCATCTCGTCCTTCACAAGCGCGTTTGGGTTAAAAACCAAAATGCTCCCCCCTCCCCCCGTCCGAGGTCCCAGTGGCCACCAAACGGGCAGGACCACATTGTCGGGTGCCGCTGT